CCCCAAAACCCCAAAACCCCACTAATATAAATTTATAGTAATAAAAAAATTATAATCTATATCTAAAATAAAAACTCAACTTAAATATTTGTCTAAATATCTTATTATGGATGATTCAGATTACTCATCAGTAAGCTCTATGCCTAACTACGACGAGGATGATAATGCTTTCTCAGAAAAATAGGACTGATTTGTGAAGGACAGTGTACATAATCATATAAGCTTTAAGAAACAATTTTGGGATATCATAGATACTCCTGAATTTTAAAGACTAAGAGATATAAAACAGTTAGGCCCTGTGTATTAAGTTTTCTCAGGAGCAGTTCATACTAGATTTGAACATTCGTTAGGTGTTGGCTACATGGTTTAAACTATGATGGAGCATTTCAAGCAAATACAGTAGTCAGAGTTATTGATAGATGATATTGATAAATAAAATGTAGTTATTGCTGGTCTTTGTAATGATTTAGGACAAGGAATTTATTCGCACTTCTTTGATCGTCTTCTGATACCAACTCTTGACCCAAAACTGAAATGGGACTACAAAGATGCCAGCATTATGATGCTCGATAGTCTGATTGATAAAAATAACATCGACCTTGATGATAAAGATCTCAAACAAATTAAAGAACTAATAAGAGGACAATATGATTCTTCAAAATCATGTATAAATCCCTCTAAAGCTTGGCTTTTTGATTTAGTCAGCAACAAGAAAAATGCAATAGATGCTGATAAATTCGATTACATTTAATGAGATATATACAATTTAGGGTTATTGAGGAATACTTATGATCCAAGCAGACTCATTTATTCTTGCAAAGTATTCAAGAATAATGTATGCTATCATATCAAGAATAGCGCTTATTTAAAATATCTTTTTTAGCAAAGATACAATATGTTTAAACAGGTTTACTGCCATAAGGTATGCCAAGCTGTTAGTCTAATGTTTCTTGATGCACTTGTAAATGTAAATCCACACTACTAATTCATTTAAAATTTGACAAATCCAGATGCATATTTTAACTTCACTGATCCAATTATTAAATATATAGCGAGTAATAAATCAAAACCTGAATTCCAAATATCATAGCAGATACTATAAAGAATAAGTAAAAGAGATCTCTATAAATTCGTGGGTGAGAAATTGATGGACACTCAGGACTACATGAAAATTAGTGATAAAATTAATATACAAGATTTAATTAACTGTCAGGATCCCTCGGATGGTAACTTTCTGAAATAAGATGATGTATCCCTATACTAATTCGGTATTAACTATGGATATGGAATATAAAATCCAGTTGATTTAGTCTAATTTTATGAAAGAAGCACAACAATCAATGAAGGGACTGGAATTTTATCAGAGACTTATCAAAATAATAGATTATCACTCATGCCTAATTAATTTTCCGAAAGCTACATCAGACTATTTGTAAAATAAGAAAAAAATCTTAAAACAGCATAGGATGCATTTAAAAAGTATTTTGAAAAGCATATAGGTATTTGAATTTTAAAATTTATTTGGAAAAATTTATTTAATATCTTTGAGTTTGAATTTATTATCAAGGGGTTTTGGGGTTTTGGGG